AACGCTATTTCTGACATTTTGAATTGAAAAATCTTCCTGGATGGAAGAGAAACGTCTTCAGACTTGGAAACAAAGTCCAGTGGATTTTCCCTGCTGGGGTCACAAAGCTGCTGGTGCTAAACTCCAGCTGTTTATGGGCGAGAGGCGGGGTCCACTTGGACAGGTCGCCAGTCCATCGCAGGGCATCAATAAAGTTCAATTATTAATAATATTAATATTTAAACGGTGCAGCCAGCTCTGGGCAAAAAGCAGGATTTTCACCACTTCAGATGTTCTCTCTAGTCGCCTTTGAATAACGAGAAGAATCTTTGAAGAACCAAATGTTTTCTGTGAGAAACTGTGACGGTTAGAGACTCCTGATTGTGTTCATTCTGTTACTGCAGCTTGTTCATAAATGTTATTCCTCTGATGAGCAGATCTCAGACGGAGTGCTGGGACTGGTCCTGGTGGCCTGGTCCCCAGCGGCGCCTCATCATTCCTGGGTTTCTGTTGCAGGACGGCCGGCTGCAGGTGGGAGACCAGCTGGTGTCCATCAACAAGGAGTCTCTGATCGGAGTGACGTACGAGGAGGTCCGGAGCATCCTGAACCGCACCAAGCTCAGGTGCGATGCAAACCGAACCAGACGGACTGACAGGCGATTCGGTCTGATCTTAACGGGGAAAACTTCCTGGTGTGTTTCAGACCAGATCCGACGGTAGAGATCGCCTTCATCCGGCGGCGGTCGTCGTCCAGCTCTAGCAGCGGTTCCCACAGTCCTGTCTGTCTGCAGGGCTGTGGAGCCGGGCCCCAGGCTAAGGCCCCTGGGCCGGGGCCTCCGCAGCCAGCTGTGCTCACAAAGATCACTTCCAGCAGGAACCCCCCCTGTGAGACGCTGCCGCCGGTCAACGTCACGCAGGTCAGAGGCTGCATGTTCAGGACCAGACCTGCAGAGGATCAGAGGATGAATATCAAACATTTCCAGATGTTTCTTCATGACGACTTGTTTGCTTCCAGGTGCGAGTTTCTCCGGTCCGACCCGAGCAGCCAGGTGTCTCCTCAGTAGCGCCGAGCGACTGCAGCGGCGACCCGAACCCCGGTGAGTTTCAGTTCACACTGAGAAATCACCCAGAAACCATTGCAAGAAATCTGCTTTGACACTGATCTCTGTTTATTCCCTGGATTGCTGATCGTCCTTTGGTAGTACGGGGTTAAGGTGAAACCACCAGCCGCCATATTGGTACTCCCTAATTAGACCGGTCGCAATATAAGCAATCGGTGCGCTGCAGCATCGAACAACAATGATGTTCTCATTTTAAGGGGGACTTTAGACTTTTAAAATAAAGATAAATTCATCAGTTTGACACAGACTGGCTGCTTCATAGCATCAGAAGATTAACTTTAACTTAATGATAAAAAAATAGGCCCATCACATTGATTAGTCATTATGAAGTCAATGAAGTGTATAAATCATGTAATATAACATATTATACAATCCATCACAATAAAATTAATGTGTTACTGAAGCAGAATGATACAGACGAGCCAAAGGTGATAAATTAATGATGTCCATCTAATATACATGTTACGGTAATTACATCTTATATGTAACATTTTACATCTTACATTATGTCATTACGTCAAACGTTTGAGGGTTTTTTTCTGTCAATCCAAGGCTGGATGTTAACCATCGCCCGATCTCCCGGGGCAAGTAGTTTTTATTGTAGGGAGAGTACAAATTTCATTGCATTTGCCCGCCGGGCAAGTGCAATGATCGCAAAAAAAAATTATTTATCACTCAAAATTACCTTAAAATCACCGACATTCGATAAAAACGACCCAGAAGCCTTGCCGGCGCCATTTTTGTTATTTTGTCCACATTCTCGCGTGATTTTCCGCCAGATGCCGTGATTTTTGTCTGGGAATTGGCGCGAATCAGACACATTTTTTTCGACTTGCCAGGCTAAAAAACAACAACAAGGCAAAAAAATGTATGTACAGTAACACACCCACCAAATATTTCACCCACCACCCATTTCACCCACCGCCCAGATAACCCTGGATTAAAAATGATCGGTCAGGGATTAGGAAGATTGGCATAACTGTACGCCATGCGCACAGTGTAAATATGGCTATCAGTGATGCAGGTCACATATTAAAAAATGTTCATTAAATGTTTTTCTCTTAGACATTGGAGAGGTGCATTTAAATGTTATAGAGCTAAACATTTTAGATTGGTGACCTGTTATGTTATTATTATTGTCATTTATTCTGTCAGGGAAACTAATCCTGAGTCAGTTAAAAGTCAGGGAATTCTGAAATGATGTCAGACTGGAAACCCTGAATAAAATAACTATGTATAATGATTCTCTAGAAAAGTCACATTATATTAATAGTATTATCTTCTATAAACATAC